CAATTGATGTATGTATGGATTGTGGTACGAGTTGTATGAGCCCCTAATAAAACGATTTTAAAAAACCCTGAAACTGTCTTGTGGGTGGGATTTCCAGTTCTGTTGGTAGTGTTTAATGTGCACATGCATGCTTCATTGGGAGGGGAGTCATGTGGTGTGGGGGGGCACTGGAGAAGAAAGCAAGAAAGAAGGGGGAAGGGGGAACATAACAGGAAGTAAAGCTAGGGTACTGCTAATGTCTGCACCAGGCTGCCCGCACAATCTGTTGTCCACCAGGGCCCCAGAGGCAAGCAAGGGAAGCTGTTTGGCTGGAATCCCTCTGGTAGTTGTGGATATTTTCTCGTGCTTGTTCTTTGATGGCCTTATTCTCTCTGAGGCCCAAGATCTTCTTTTCAAATATGAATATGACGCCATTCCTTTTGGTTTTGCCATACTAAGAACAGTAAGTCATATGATTGTCTGACCCAAAATAGCCCATGAAGTCCATTTCAACTCACCTATACCTAGGATATTGATCCTTTTGTTTCATTTTATTTATGTTCCAATTTATTTATTTATAAAGATCATTTTATTGGGGGGTCTCTTGTCTCTCTTATAACACTCCATACACCAATTGTATCAAGCGTATTTGTACATATGTTGCCATGTTATTTTCTAAACATATACTTTCTATTCGAACCCTTGGTATCAGCTCTTCTTTCTTTCCCTCCCTCCCGCTCCCACTCTCGTGCCCCTTGATAAATTACAAATTATTATTTTCATATCTTACACTGACTGCTGTCTCCTTTCCCCCATGGTTTCTGTTCTTTGTCCCTCTTGGTGGACCGGGTGGTGGTGGCTATGTGATCGATCTGTTTCCCCTTCCTCCTCTCCTCCCCTTCCCCCTTCCCCCTACCTGTCTGGTATTGCTACTCCCATTTCTGTTCCTGAGGGGTTTATCTGATCTGGATTCTGTGTGCTGTGAGCTGTTATCTGTTCCAGTGTACAGGCTCCAGTCTAGCCCAAAGTGGAAGATAGGAATGAGGTCACGATAGTGGGGAGTGGGGCAGCCTCAAGGAACCAGAGGAATAGTGTGTTTCAGCGGTGCTATATGACACCCTGGTTGACTCATCCCTTCCTTGTGACCCTCCTGTGAGGGCATCATACTTGGCACATCCCACACTTTGGTTATGAATATGCATACTGTGCTGTTTCTTCACAATTTTGAACGCTGCCCCATTGGCAAATGAAGATCTTGAACGCTTTGCTGCATGCAAGCCATTAATTCTGACTCTACGTTGAGGAGGCAGCGCTTCCCCAGCCCTATTCTGAGTGCCTTGCAGCCTGAGAGACTCCGCTTGTGACACTGTCTCTGACCATGTTCTGCCGCTAGGCATAAAGGGCTGAATGGTTAGCCCTTAGAGGTGAACAGTGTCTACCTGGTTCACCGTCAGCTCTTAGTCCGGCAGTTCCCCTGAAACCTGTTCACTCTGGTTGACCCTGCTGGGATTTGAAATATGGGCAGCATAGCTTCCAGTAACACCGCAGTCCACAAACCAGCACATACAGAAATCTGACAGATGAGTGGTAGATGACAATAAAGAGGGAATCAAATATGAGGGAATTTCTAAAAGTTCTGGAAAAATAGAATTAAAAGACAATGGAATTTTTTCACACACTTGCTGAATCCCCTTCAAATGTCGTATGCTGTAAGATTTTTTTTTCATGGATGTAAACCCTTTATTAACACCATTTGTGGATGATAGCCGTATGGGATTTCTGCCGTCGTGCGTGGTTCGGGAAATAGATAACACTGCGAAGGCTCCAGGTCGGATCTGCCACGTGGGCATCAACAGCCATGTCTTGTGTGTGGCATCTCACCTTTTCTTGTTTGGCGTATTTCACTGGCGTCACCGAGAAAGAGAAGGTTGAGCTGCTGGTCGTTGTCCACTGCCCTCTCCACATGCTCTGGGACGATTTCGATGTCTCCATCTTTCTCTGCCTCCTTGCCCGCCAGCTCCAGGAGATTGTATGTCAAGTACTCAAGAATGCCGGTGAGAAAAATGGGTGTGAAAACACTTAGGCGCCGGACGTGCTTTCTTTTCCGCAGCAACTGATCCACCAAGCTCACGGGGAACTGCAGCTCCGCTCGTGCCGAGCGAGAAAAGGGTCGCTTCTTGTACCTGGAGAAACGAGGACAGTTGCTTCTTCCCGTCATGATGTTCTCCGGCTCTGAGCAGCCCAGCTCGACTGTCCTGCTGGTCAGCACCTATCAAAACACCCTGGCTCATCCCACCCCACCCCCCTTATTCATTGCTCAGGGAGCTGTCTTTGTAACAACTAGACTTTGTGAGGTCATTGGTGAGCTCAGATCCTGGTCAGGTCTAGTCCCAGAAAGGTCCCTGTTAAGAACCTGATCGCCTCGATGAATGGACCCTCTTTTTACAAGAACCCTAACCTTCTACTGGACTTTTACATTTTCAGAGGGAACATTGCATTCTCCCGCAGCAGAACACACACCCCTCCGATGCCCCCACGCATAGTGATTTGACGCTAGCTTTGGTTGCCGTGTTGTTTACAAGCTTTTGTAAATTGCCAGTAGTAGACATTACGCACAGTGTCTTATTCCCGATAGGTTCAATCATCTCCTCTCTCACACTGCAATAAAAGTAGCTTTGCCTTATGCTGTAAGATTTTAAGCAAAACCCAAAAAAATCAACTAGAGAAAACCGGGCTGTGGCAACGTGACCTGCAGAGCCAAGGACAGCCTCCCTGCAACGCTGCTGCTGAAGCAAAGACCTGAAGGAGGTAATGAAGAACGTTTCCTGGAAACGGACACGAAGTGGGATACCATCTGCGAGGTGTAATGAATCCTGTCTTGTGTAGCTAGAAGCTCTAATGATGTCCTTGGGTTTGAGTTGGGCTGCCACCGCCAGCTCAAACGTTTGAAACTCCAAGTCACGTGATAGAAGAAGGATGGGGCTATCTGCTCCTTTAAACAATCCCAGAAACCCCCGGGCTCATTCTCCCGTGTCCTACAGAGTGACGGAGGCAGAATTCACTCAATGGCAGGGAGTTCGGTTTTGGAGTTTTGATTGTCTATTGTTGCTCTCTCAGAAATATTCCAAGTGCACGTCTTTAACAAACAAACGTTGATTTTCTCACAGCCCGGGACCCTAGAAAGTTAGTACAAATTCAGGGTGCCGGCTCTAAGGGAGGACTCTTCCTCTCCTTTGGCTTTGGGAAAAGAGCTTTGCCTCTTCAGCTGTTTCCCTGCTGCTTGCAGATCTTGTCGTTTGGCATCTCTCCTCCTCCATCTCATCTCAGCTGGTGTAAGGTCCTTTGCACCAGCAACTCTGGGAGAAGGATGTGGCAGTCGGCCTCTGTAAAGATTACAGCCTTGTAATTTACCCTATGGGGCAACTCTACTGTGTCCTATAGGGTTACTATATTGACTCCTTGGCTGTGGGGTAAAAGCCATTATGACAAGAAGACCAGGTGGAAGCTCCTGAAACTGATCTTTCGTGTCAACTATGATAATACAGCTATTAAATAAGGACAGGTGATTTCTCCAACCTGTGATTTTCCTTGTCTACAGAAGCCTTGTTCACTAACTTCCTATAGAGGGGGGTGAACAGGAGGGGCAAATTAAAATAGACTTCTGGCTTGGATAATTCTATCATTCAACAGTTGCGACCTCTACCAGGACTCGTATTAATATTGTGATTGTTGTTAGTTGCTATCAAGTCGATTCTGAATCATGATGAGTCCATGTGTTATAGAACAGAATTGCTCCATAGACCATTTATTCGCTCGTCCTTCTGGGTGGGTTTGAACTGCCAGGCTTTAGGTTAACAATGGAGTGTAACTAATGTGTACCGCCTAGGGAGTTTCCCCAACTCTTGTCTGTCAGTTTGTCGAACTGTGGTGCCTTCTGTGTTGCTGTGATTCTGGAAGCTATGCCCCTGATATTTCAAATGACAGCAGGGTCACCCAAAGTTTCAGAGAAGGTTCCAGACTAAGAATAGACAATGAGGAAGGGCTGGGCTCCCCACTTTGGAGGAAGTAGCCACTCAACCTTTTCTCCATTTATCATTATGTTACCCATCAGTCCAGTTGTGAGGATTTGGGTTTTCTTTACACCTGATTATAACCCATATGAAGACTGGAATCCTTGATCTTCATCAGCACGTGTTTCAAGTCCTCATGTTCAGTAAGCAGGGTTGTGTCATCTGCCTGTTTCAGGTTGTTAATAAGCTTTACTCCAATCCTGATACCACATTCTTCTTCACATAATCCAGCTTCTCTGATGATTTTCTCAGCATACAGCCTGAAGACAAATGGTGACAGAATACAGCCCTGGTGCACCCTTTTCCTGATTTTAAACCATGCAGTATTCCCTTGTTCTGTCAACACAACTGCCTCTTGATCCATGTACAAGAGCCACATGAGCACAATGATGTGTTCTGAAACTCCATTCTTCTCAAGGTTATTCATAGTTTGTTACGATCCACACAGTCAAATGCCTTGGCATAGTCAATAAAACACAAGTAAGCATCTTTCTGGTATTCTCTGCTTTGAGCCGAGATCCATCTGGCACCAGAAATGATAGTCTTTGTTCCAAGGCTGCTTCTGAATCTGGCTTGAGCCTCTGGTGACTCCTTGTCAATGTACTGCTGCAACCATTGTTGGATAGTCTTCAGTAAAATTTTACTTTCATGTAAGATCAATAATATTGGATCCAGATGATAGCCATACCATCTGAGAAGCACCAAGAGTCAGAGTGTGGAACAGAGTGATAAGCTTACCAAACCACAGAGCAAGTTAACATGAGTGCTTTCGTGCCGGGGGCTGGCTTGTAGATTGGATGTCTCTGGGCGCTTAATTGCTAGAGTTAGACTTGCTGACCCATGGACGTGGAGCTGAGTGCTTTGGGTTAAGCCTTACTGGAGTGGACTCAATGCCTTGAGGTTGGGGCTTACAGCAGCATGGTATGCTCCTTTGATCATTTAGTTGCATACCTGAAACTTTGGACTATGTCCTTGGAAAAACTACACTCAGCAGTCATCACTAGCATTACCTTTTAATCGTGAACTTTGTGAATTTCTTTCTAGGCTCTGCAATGGGTATTAGAATCCAAAGAAATAAATAGAGAACATTAATTAAGACTACCATCTTGCAAGAGTTGGACTTTTGGGATTTTTTTTTTTCCATCTCCAACTTCTTGGGATTAGTTTAACTCTTAGCAAAGGAATTATTACTACAGTGATGGTTGAACAACATGGTGAACATAATTAATGTCACCGAAATGTGCATGTGAAGAATGTTGGGATGGTAAATGCCTTGCTACACATATATTTCCCATAGTAGTAATTATAAGAAAGGAGCCATTGGTGATTTTCAGCAAAGAGGTCATGAAATCAGGACCCTTGCTCAGTAGAATGGCTTGGGCAGCTTCGTGGAAGTTAGGCTGTGATGGTGGGGAAATCAACTCAAGGAGACAAGTTAGGAGACAATGCTATGCTTCGAAAAAGCATTTTCAAATGTTAGGGAGTGGGGAGAAGCTAGTGTGGTTTAATGATTCTTGATCATTGCACCCTTAACAGCAAAGTCTAGGCTCATGTGTTTTTAAAAATTGTGAATATAGGCGCCAAACCAGTTGCCATGACTGTTGGTTTTGACTGAGGGTAATCCCACCCAGCAGTGCCTGAGTGGAACCTGCTGCTTAGGGCTTTCAACAGCAGGTTTCTCCAAAGTAGGTCTCCAGGTCTATGTTCTAATGAGCCTCTTGTGTGTACACCATCGTCTAACCTTTTAGCCAGCAACGGAGCGCACTAACGCTCTGCCCTGCCCAGGGACTCCTTGTGTATGAATACACAGAGAACAATTCCTCCTTCTCAGGATGGACCATGACCCGTGATACTGATTGCCTTCTCCACAATTTGTCTGCGTTGTTTAAATGCTTTCTAATGAGCAGTTATGATGAGTTTTTTGAGTCAGAAAGAGAGTTGATTTTTTTTAAAGCAAAGCATTTGATTTTCCTTGGAAGTGAAAGGATGGCCATCTAATTTACCCCCAGACAGCATGCTGTGAGTACTGTGTAAGAGGGCTCATCACCCAGGCAACCCAAAGGCAGGGGACGCTATGCTCTGGAAGCCTGGCGTAACAGAAGCTCCTTGGCTGCGCTCCTGAGAGATGACTCTGAGAAGCCAGGCTGAACCTGAGGGAAAATGGTGACATGGAAGTTGGGTGGTCCTTTATCTCCCTTTCTAGATATCCCATTTTTTCATTCCGCTATCATTCTCCCCTCCTCTTCTCCCAGCACTGCCTAGTGATATCTGATGTAAGTTAAGTGCTGAATAAAAATAGCATCAATACGGAAGACTAGGGAAGATGCTGTCTTCATCTTCTCTTGTCCCATCCCCGAGCTCCTCCAACTGCACCTCTCCCCTCCAGGAGGGAGAAAGTAGGGTATGTCTGGGTTACAGCAAGTCCCTTGGTTTGATGATGACCAACTGAGTAGAGCTTCCTGTTAGAATATATGTCGTAGGAAAGACAGAGAGACTAATGGCAGAACACAGGTTTCTTATAGGAAACCTGAGAGGGGCCTCTGACCTGAGTCAAAGGGTGTTCTCTGATGGCTCTGCCATGAATGAATTAATGAAGCATTGCCATTAATGAAGCAGTGGCTGGTCTGACTCTGCCTGAGATAAAGTGGACACTTTGCCTCCTGCTCCCTGGCAAAGCTGAAACACAGCAGTTTGCAAAATCTCAGTTACTCCCTGTTCGCAACTTTATCCTCCCGTCCTGTCTGTGGTTAGGCTGATGTATTAATGTTTCTTTGTATACCCTCAAACAATGTCAACTGTCCCTTTGTGTGAGAGCTTATCACAAGATGCAGGCTATGTGACAAGGAGTGTATCCAAACCTGCCTGGAGGAAAGCTCTGGACCTTGCAGGGTCGATCCTTCATGTGCCTCCCACACCCCAACTGCATCTGTCCTTTCATCCCTTATCTGTAAGTTTTCTCATTGCAGGCCATGCTCTCTTGAACCTGTTCATCTTATAAGAGAGCTGGACTCGTTAATCTTACACTTTATAAGCATGCTTTTTTATTCTCACTGCTAGATGGGAGACCATGATTTCTTTGGGCCATATCATCATGATTTATTTGATAATTTTAATGAGGGTTAGTTTTTGGATAACATCTCTGGCTACA